AAGGATAATCACTACCTAACAACTAGCCTTGGATTAGGAAATGCATCTATGTCGGCACAAAAATCAGACGTACGATGATCTAGAATTAGTTAAAAAGGTGTTATTTTATTTTACATATTTATATAAGTGTTTTTTTTAAAAGTACAGTTTTTAAACAATTAAAAGTTTAATATACATTATAGATAAATAGATATGTGGCAACTTGCCTACTACAACTCAACTCTGCCAGTCTGGTAACCCATAGCAACCAAAAACAAAATAATATTTATTCTATTCAATTGTTATAATTATTTAACGATCTGTCTCAAAAATTGTACTACCATAATTGGTGACCCGTATTTATTACGAATAGCAACCTTCAATGTTGCACGAATATGGAGTTTATATGTCAAAATTCTGAGCAGCAGTAAGTTATCCAGTGTGATGAGATGCAAGTAAGACATTTCACCTGTCATTTCAAGCGTTGTGCCGCATTCCGGCGAGTCAACATATTTCTGTCATAATTTCAAATTTCAGCGGATATATGTATCGTCGGCTGCATTTGAGACGCCAATTTCTCTGATTTCAAGTACCAAGAAACTGTGTCACTATATACATAGTGATTATTTTTCTATACATATTATTACTGTGCATATTTGATTGATATAAAGTGGATGACAACGATGCTGCTTTACAATTTTCGCGAGTCGCAAGCCACCGCCTTTTTGTCGCCGAGACCCATCGTTATGGTTCATTCAATTTTATGCGCAGTTGAGTCACATTACTGCCAACGAAACTCAATTTTATACAGCGATCGCCGCGTTATAATCAGAGGTACTGCAATCAGCTCGTGAAATAATTCTGAATTCACCGGCGACGGACAAATACAAATCTTTAAAAAAAAAAAAACTAATTTCTGTTTATGAAGAATCCGAGACAGAATCAAGCAGTTATTGCACGATTTACGGTTGGGTGATATGAGGCCTTCTCAATCGCTGTCTAAAATGTAAAATGTCTAGCCGCCGGTAACCTAACGGATAACATTCATTCTCAAAAACAATATGGATGAATAGACTCCCATCTAACATGCAAACCATTTTAGCGGCCAGTACGAAGCCACTTAAAAATCTTCCCGAAACCGCTGATAAAATTCACGAGCTGACCAATTCCAGCTCAAATAAACGCAGTGCAGGCTCCTGCTATTGTGGCGTTACAGACTCAAATTGATGATTTGTCCAAACAGGTTGCTCAGTTAGTAGCCATCAAGCTGAAACTTTTCAGCGCAACCGCTCCACATCACGTGGTCGAAATACACGTCGTAGCCCACTGAGGAAACGTTATGAAAGCCGGGTATTCATAACCCGGGTATTTGTTTTTACCACCACAAATTTGGAAACAAGGCAAACAAATGCCGCCCACCGTGTCGTTATAACGACCAGGGAAACGAGAAGGGCCGTTGCTCGAAGTTGTGAACGACAGCGGCCGGAATTTTGCACGCCTTTTCGTTCATCGAAAAGAATTCGGCTTGAGGTTTCTTGTAAACACCGGGGCTGATGTTTCTGTCATTCCACCACATTTTCACGAACAAAAGCGCCTTACCAACTTACAACTTTATGTAGCAAATGGAACTCCTATTCAAACTTTTGATGAACGCCTGATATCTGTTGATTTAGAATTGCGCCGCAACATCCAATGGCCATTCATTATTGCTACTGTTTCAAGTCCTATTAGTGGCGCTGACTTTTTTCAAAAATTTTCTGCTTATCGATCTTAAGAATCCACCGTTAGATATATTTCGAGAGTAATTCGCATTAGTCAAGATTTGAGCATTAAACTGATTTCGGGTAACTCCCCATGGCATCAACTCCTCAGAGAATTCCCTACAAACACGCGCCCAGTTATAGGTATTTTCGAACCCAAGCACGATGTACTACATTATATTGAAACTACCGAACTTCCAATTGCAGCTAAACCAAGACGCTTACCTCCGGACAAGCTTAAAGCTGCCAAAGAGGAATTTCAATACATGATGGAACAGGGAATTTGCCGTCCTTCAAAAAGTTCATGGGCTCTATCTAATTCGGAAACGAAATGGTAACTGACGCCCGTGTGGCCATTATCGTCGGTTAAATGCAGCTACAATTCCTGATCGTTACCCAGTCCCTCACATTCAAGACTGTATGCAAGTTTCAGAGGGAAGAGCTATTTTTACAACCCTTGATCTTGAGCGGGCGTATCACCAATTGCCCGTTAACCCAGCTGATATTCCAAAAACTGCGGTTATTACGACTTTTGGACCATTTGAGTTTCGGGTCATGACTTTCGGCTTATGCAATGCTGCTCAAACGTTCCAACGCTTCATGAATCAGATGTTAATCGGCCTCGACTTTTGTGTACCTTATTTTGATGACGTCTTAATCGCCTCCTCTTCAGAGCAAGAACACCTACCACATTTGAGAACAGTTTTTGAACGTTTTCAAAGGTACGGTGTCGGTCTTAATCCTTCTAAATGCGTTTTTTGGCCAACCGAGAGTATCCTTTCTTGGTCATGAAATTTCCGCTGATGGCGTTCGACCCCTTCCAGACAGAGTCACCGCTATCCCCGATATACCCGTACCATCTTCAGTGAAGGACTTAAGAATCTTGCTATGCTCAATTTTTATCAACGTTTCTTACCTTATGCAGCGACCATACAAGCTCCTCTAAATTCTTTTTTGGTTTGAAGCAAGAAAAACGATAAACGTGTTACATAACCTGGACCACAGAATCCCGCGAAGTGTTTCAAAAATGCAAAAATGATTTAATTTCGGCAACAAATTTTGCAGTATCCTTCCGCATCTAAACTATTATCACTCTACGTTTATAAGGTGTTTTTCCCTCTTTCCTAGCCTGCCTTCGTGGTGTAGTGGTTCTGCACGCTGGGCCGGTACTCCACAGGTCCGCGGTTCGATTCCCGGCGAAGGCGTTGCATATTTTTCATATCCTCTGCTTCCCAGAAATAACCTAATGTCTCTCCACGTTGACGTTGCTCAGCGTGGATCAACAACAGCTATAGGAGCAGTTTTAGAAAGATCAAGAATTATGGAGACTCACATTTTTCTAAAAAAACTCTCACCAGCACAAACCAGATACAGCAATCACGATCGCGAATTGTTAGGAGTTTATGAAGCTGTCAAATATTTTCGACATATGCTAGAGGAACGCGTTTTCATGATCGTAACAGATCACAAACCCTTAACCTATGCTTTTCAACAGCGTTAGGATAAAGCTTCTCCTCGTCAAATGAGACACCTAGACTTCATAGGGCAATTTTCAAAAGATATCCGTTATATTGAGGGTTCGCAGAATATTGTTGCAGACACCTTGTCTCGTATTGAACAACTAGCCGTTCCTTCGCGAATAATAAACTTTGCTGCCCTTGCGGATGAACAACACCTGGATTCAGAACTACAAACCCTCTTGAAAAGCATATCTTCCACCAATTTGTCATTTACTTCATCAAAGTCTTGAAAAGCAAATTTATCATTACTTCATCAAAGTCGATCCTTTCAAATTTTTTTCCTTCCACACTTAAAAATGCTAGATGGCTTAGGGGATCTTGTCCCATTGTTGATTATAAATATGTGAAAATGTATTTTAATTAGCTGAACGAACGTTCGTAGCTAGCATTTGATAATGAAATAGTAAGTAGTATTTGAAGTGCGACTCTTAGGTTTGGAAAAACATTTTCTCTATAGATCTGTAGTGGAGTTTTAGGTTCCGTTTCTTTTCTACTGCGGAGTAACGTCATGCAGTCACATTCACTGCTCAAAACAATTAGGGGATGTTGTGGGTTCGGTATGAAATAACCATATAATCGACAATCTTTTTGAACAAAAGGAAATAGAATAGATTATAAAGGAAAATTATAATGTTTACAAAGTTGGGAATAGGCAAATTTAGTCTGTGACGTCGAAAACTATGTGTTTAAGATAAGGAGTGACAAGCGACCTGCAGCATTCCTTTCGTAGTAGGAGATTAAAAACAATTGAAAAGTGATGTGGTGGTGTATTTAATTATGGCAAAGCACACTAGGGCTATCTGCCTAAGAGGAGGGATGCCTTCGTGGAGGACTTTCTAGGAAAACTGGCTCGTATACACACATGTGGAAAACGAAAACACCCATGCAGCCAGCACGTTCGCGGGATTCGAACCTCGGACCGAACTACAGTGTTCAGCCAAAGAATCTCTAAGGAGAAGAGTAAAGGTTCCCCGGAGCAAATGTGGCTCCGTCAGACCGAAGAGACACATTATGTATATCCATGAAGCTTACTTTAAAGGGGAAAACCATTCCAAAGTATCCAGTATCCCATTCCGAACCTCACTGCGCATGTGCGAAAAAAACATCAGGAGGCATCAAAGCATCATCAAGAATGCAGCTGCGTCGGCCATGTTAGCAATCTTTTACCACGTGTTCGAAAACGTTTCTTTGTTGTTGTAGTCAGAAGGTACTTGGTTTTAGCTATGTGAAATTCTTTTAAAGGTCTTTTAATGTAATGCTGTAAGTGAAATGGTTTTGGCTATTGGGTGAAAACTTTGCTCTTGGTTTTCACAATGGTCATTCCAAATAATTGTCTAAACGTTTTCATGGTAATTTGTTTTTAAAGTTGTTGTCGGATAATTATAATGTATTTCAGTGTTTTCAATTTATTTAGGGGTGCCTTAATTGTCTTTAAATATTTTTTTCTGTTTCAGTTAGTTATTGCAATTTTGCTTTTAAAAATATATTCAAATTTCACTGTAAAAAATTTTAACTAATGGATCCATAAAAATAAAAATTTATTACGTTTCGTATGCCGGTGGTTTAACATGTTTCCCTTCGGCCTCCAACTGTATCAGATGTTTAATTTATCAAAAAAGTCGTTCACGAGAAAGAAGCATTAATTATATTGGAATAGTTCATCGTTTTATTTGTGCATTTCGTCGTACGGGGCTCATTTAACACAACAGAAAACTACAATAGAATAATTTTCCGGATTTTCCGGAAAGTATTGTTTGGAAACCATTTGGCGCCCCTCTAGGAGCAGCGCCCGGGCCATCATGCACCCCTTTGCCCCCCCCCGTCGCTACGCCACTGCACGGTATCATCAGCGTAGTAGCCGAGAAAGTGATTATCAGGGATATGGACCTTACGAAAGTCCGCCACGTAAAATAAATAGATAAGCGGGCCTAAATTTGATCCTTGCGGGACGCCGGTAGTAACTGATTGAAATGACGTTGACTGAAATGAGCAGAGATACGTAAGAGTAGCTGAAGTAGGTCATATGACTAAACGGTCACGTTCTTATTGGAGATGCCAAAGTAAGCATTAAGTCATAGTTTCTCAAATAATTGAGAGTCAAAGCATGAGTTGCAGTAAGATGAAAACACAGTCTTTTCTTAACATATAATCATGAAAAACTTGCAAATATTCGCAGTAATTCTTGAGAATTAAATTAAAATTTAAAGTCCTAGCAAAGTAGGCGTGGCGGTCACGTGAACCAGTAGTGAGGCACTTAGTACTGTAGAAGATGGCGAAAGCGACACCCGATCATTAAAATATGAACAATTGAAAATAATTATAAATAAATATGGCAGAGTCCTTGTGGCTAAGTGAAAAACAAAGTCCTTTCTTTGCAGAAATCACTAAAATAGTCCTTTCTTTGCAGAAATCACTAAAATAGTCTATAGCTTTGCAGATGCAAAAAAACACTAAATCACAATAAGCACATAATCTTGAATTATGGTTAAATACGAAATAAATGAAGAAAATATTTACATTATGCACAGTTACCATTTTGAATTATGGTGAATTGAGCGGGGACGTTTCACCAGTGTCTCTTCAGCTGGATCATAATTAGAAAGATTCCGGATATTTTCATATTGAGAATTTGTGATGTTTTTAAAGAAATTGTGTGCTGACATTAATATAGCATCTTGAAATTCAGGTATTTTAAGATCTTGATAAATCTGGGTGTTCCGTACGAACCAGGGTGCATTTGTTCCAAGTTCCAAGTTACACGTATGCCGAGATTATCAAGCATTCTGCTTGATGTGTTCCGGCTATCATCAGATGTTTGCTCTTTGGCCCAAGGCCCAAGGCGATATTTTCCGGAGTACCTTTGCAACTTAATGCAATTACCTCCACAAATTCGTTAAGAAAACTGAAGTAATTAAGAAAGAGCATTGGCTAAAGGGGGGTGAAGGAAACCATTAAGGGTTTACTGTGAAAGAATTGGATAAGAAGTCCACGCTGGGGACGAGAAATTCTTTCTGCTTTCAACTTGTTATTCAAGATTGAAAGAGAGAGAGGTGATGATTAAAGGTGAATTCCTGAATGCATTGCATTAATGGAATCGGAAAGGTTGGAAGACAATCAGCCGGGAAACATAATTTTCCAGGGCTTGGGAAAGGTATATTAGGTATTACGGAAAACCGCAGTAGTTGCTAATGCCTTGGGGATGGGCGTCTGCGGGTGTATCGTGAATGATAGTAAGATGTTTAAGTCGCTCTTCCATTTGAATGAACCTAGGATCTGCTTTAGGCACGTTTGAGTTTTGTAAACTCACTAATTCGACTTGTAAGCGATTAATTTGCAAAGCTAAATTTTCATAGTGAATTTGACAGCCATGACTCTCACGTATCTGCTCGTACAGGTTACGTAGATTATTTATCTCCTCTGGCTTGCTCATATCTAGCTGCTTGACCTAACCATTGGCTCGGTAATGCATGCCATCAATAAACAAGAGAAAAAAGAACTTAGCAATCTTAACACATATGCGTTATACATATTCACTAATTGATACAGAAAACTCGTGGAGAAAGTTAATGGATATTTTTTATCAGAAATATTCAGATCAGATGTATGTTATGAAGAAACACGCTTTGGAGATTTTCACATAGTTTCATTTAATAATATAAATTATAATTCAAATAATATAACTAATAATTTATAATATACATTTATTACTTTTTTAAATAATATAAATTTTGAGATAAAAATTTAAATCGCAGGGGAAATAAATGATATTTTTGATCAAAATTATTTACATCAGCTATCTTTTATGAGGAACGCACTCCAGAAACTTTCATGTAGTTTTTATTTCATTTAATAATATAAATTTATCTAATTCTATAAGGATTATAAAAACAAACACTTAAGTGTTGTGAAATGGATTCAGTTTCTGTCAAAAATTCAATTGCATTCCGTAGTCCAATAAAATTGATGTCATACGAAAAAAACAATAAATCTTGCCTACAAGAAGATAGTTCGAATATTTTCAAAGAAAATTTCTTCTTTCTTTCTCTTTTCTTATTATAAAAGTTCTCCAAATTGTTTGTAGAAATATTGGCACTTTTCTCTTAATCGGGAACAACATTGCGCCAAAAGTTGTCGCGTAGTCTAACTAGATGGCGGCAGCCCTAACGATACGTAACGCTTCATGCAAAAAAAATGCATTTTTAACATCTAATGTGTGCAATGCGAAAGCTGTGCGCGATGCCGAATTCGTGCATTTTTGTGACATTTTCAGGCGTCAACAGATTGCTATACTTAACAGTTCTCCCCATATATATAGGAATCTTGTTTTGTTTAAAAATATCAAAGAATTGTACAAATTCAGCATCGCACACAGTCTTGGCATTGCACACATTGAACATTGCACTGTTATTTCATGATTCGATAAAAATAGGCCACCGGGTTTGAAACCTGCTCCACATTTTTCGACACTCGCTTCGGCAGTACATATACTAAAATTGAAAAGATACAGAGAGGATTAGTATGGCACCCCATTAACAGAAAAGTACAGAAATATTTCACAAGTTTAAGGAAAAGAAATATAAGTATTCAAAACTTCAGCATGTACAGAAGAGGAAAGTCGTTATCTTCGGTAATCTCCTTGTGTTCTTCATCTGTTTCTCCTTGTAAGCATGACGTCATGAAATTAATATAGAATTTTAACTCAGGTTTTTACCTTGATTCCACCATTGTTTATCTGTTCAACATAATTCTGCTTGCTAAGAAAAAATTTTATGTATTCTTCATTATTAATTGGGCCTAAAGTTCCTCCTAATTCTTCTGGGAGAACTTCGGGTGGCACATGCTTGCGGAGTTCTGTCCAGTCACTTGTATGTAAATGCAACTGAAAAGAATATAAAAGTTGAAAAGTATAATAATTTTGATACATACAATATATATATATATTTAAATACTCAGTTCTGATATTGGACATTTTGAACTTTATCGCATTCTTTTTTCCAAGAACTACATTTTTTTTTTTTTTTTTTTTTTTTTTTTTTGTATCTACAGAGCAGCTTTGAATTCTTCAAGGAACACAATTTGGTCATCTGAAGAATTAAATATATTTTCGTTTAGATGGTCGTCCTAAGATTTCACCAAGTTTGCGTTTTCTTTCAATTTTTGTTTCCAATTGGTTTCCAGTTTTAGCTGATAAAGCTCAAATTTGATTTTATTATTTAAAAATTCTTTGCAAAAACATTTTCGTTTCCTAGGCATTAAAAGTTTAGTTTAGCATAATTAGGCACCGCCCAATTTTTTGAGTGTTGTTTAAAAGAGAATTTGGCTTAAAATATATTAGTTTTACTCTTTAACAAATATTTCTATTCGTATAGTGCTAATATAAAATAAAATTTAATTAAGAAAATTTTAATTGCAAAAATTAAAATAAAATGTATTATTGCTGTGAACTAATTTACAATATCATTTATATTCTAAGAGCATATGTAAATTAAGTGCACGTATCTAAAACCATGAAAATAATATATTATTCCGAAAAAATAAATTGCATAAGTGAATAATTGTTGAGCAGGCAGGAGACAGACATATCAAGGGGAAGTTGCCTCCAAACCTAACTCTTCAATTACTCAATTTGTGTTTTGTCATCCATATGGGCAAAGGTAAAAGTAAAATTCAAAACCAAAAGTAAAACCAAATGTTGTAAATTACTAAAACGAAATTTAAACTAGTGGAATTTTGAGAAATTAGTAAGTAAATGATCAAATTAGTTAAATGTGAATGAAGAGTAGAAAACCAAATTTTTTAGAAAAACAAAGTAATTTAGAAACTCTTGCCTATAGAAAACTTCCTCCTATACGAATTATTTTTATTTAAATAATGCAGTTTAGTACAGAAAAATTTCTTAAAATAATTCTCTATTTCAATTTGTAATTTTCTAATTCAAATTCAAACTAATTAAAATTTTTCATTAAAATGTTTATTCGAACGTTTAATTTAATTTCAATTTAATTTTGCTAAATTTTTTCAAAAAACATTTTTTCAAAATTTTTACATCTTTAGTAGTTTGCAACATCTTTTTTCACAAAAGTACCAATTCACAATTTGTACTTTTTAACACATTTTAGCAATGCCTCAGAGATAGCAACATTTTTGCACACAAAAGAAGCATTTTACATTTTACATTAAAGTTTACAGCATATGTCTTTACAATAGCTCTTACATGTAGCAGCTTTACATCCAACTTTATACTGTATTAGCGCCCTCTATTTATACAGTTAGTAGTAGCAAACTACTAAACTTCACCTAGTTTTAGCAAATGTTAGTCTAACACTGAAATTCAAATATGTAGTTCTGGTATGTTTAATTAAAGCTTGCTATTTACTTGCCTTTTTATTATTATTATTATTACTTTTATATTTTGATAGTTTATATTAGGTTGTATATAGTTTATATTAGGTTTATATGCATAATTTGTGTAGGGGAAGTTTTCTATAGGCAAGAGTTTCTAAATTACTTTGGTTTTCTAAAAAATTTGGTTTTCTACTCTTAATTGACATTTAATTAATTTGTCATTTACTTACTAATTTTTCAAAATTATTAATTATAAATTAGTTCACAGCAATAATAAATTTTATTTTTATTTTTGCAATTTAAATTTCTTAATTAAATTATATTTTATATTAGCTTTATACGAATTGAGAATATTTGTTAAATTCAAATTTCATTACTTGCAGCAATGGCGCAAGAGAATTACTTAAATTTAATTGAACTTTACTATATTCTTGTGAAACAATTTAGTTTTACTCTTTATATTTATTTGCTTCTGATTTCGGATTTGCATATAATTATTTTAGACCAACTAGATTTTTTTGAATGTCTTTTTACATAATATAAAGTTTTGTGGTTTTTTGAGTTGTCAGTTTAGCGCAATGTTATATTTTATGCATTTTACCAAGTGCTTCCAAGGCGCGTAGGGAAAGTCCTGGTACATTTGAAATTCAAATTTTCTGTTTTAAATGAATTTTAGTGTCTTAATTCATTTTCCCCTGATGAGTTCGGAATTAGATTTTCAGTAAAAGGAGTTTAATTATTATTTTTATTTTGTATTTTTTCCCTTTTTCATTTTCATTTTTATTTTTTGAATTTGTAACTACTATGAATTCTTATTTTATTTATGATATGTTTGGGTTTGGTGTTAAACTTCTTGTAGACGATTGCTAATATTAATAATCTTGCTTTGATTCCAATTTACTTTTAACTTTAGAATCTTTAAGTTTATCTTACTTCAATCCTGCAGCTATAGCACAGGTTGAGTAAAAAAATTGGCTTGTAATTTTGCCTCTTATTATGTTCTCTTTTTTTTTTTTTTTTTTTTTTTTTTTAAATCTATATAAACAGAAAGAGTAGTACATAATGCACATATATATGTATGTAATGTTTTTAGCTTCCAAGAAAAAGTTATTCAAAAAATTGGATAAAGCTACCCGAAGAAGTGTGAGATCCATATGTGAACATATATTATACGTACAAGTAATACAATGAGATATGACAACATAAATCTGAGATATAATGCAATAAAACAAAAGAATATGAGAATACAAAAAATTTTATAATAATTTTTTTTTTCATTATTGTTTGTTGAATTCAATAAAATATTTAAAATTTCTTTTGAAGCCTAGTAAAGACTTATATAATTGATTACAAATGTTTGCCTTTTCTCTTAATTTCTTAATATTTTGCAGAAGGTATCAATTTGGGACTGAAGCATCCTTGAAAATACATATATCTTGTTCTAAACCGGAGTCACTATGAGACTTTCTAATAACGCCTCAGTATGATAACTTTTGCACCATTAACACATACTCTCAATTATTTGAGTTAATGCCGGGGAAGAGGATCACGGATAAGTGAAAAACACGGATAATCCAAGTTATCAATTTGCATGCATATTTTATACATTTACTTCTTAAAAAGTCAGTAATTAATTTCGTTTTGAAAACATTTAAATATCTGTCTGATTTCGCTGCATATTTTTCGAAATACTATTATTTTTTTCGCATTCTGTGTCGTCGATGAAGTTCAATAGTGTTTCAATATAAATCATTGCTGTCTTGGAACTGATGTAATGTATTATCAGGATCTTTGTATTTTCAGTATCACTTTCGGCCTCTTCGGTTCAGGCAAGGCTGGGGCTTGCAATTCGGGTTCCTACGCAGGTGCGTTACCCCGTGAATAACACAATGTCCGATTTTCTAACATTTAGAAGAGGAAAGTAAACAATGTTGCATAACAGTCCTTGGATAAAAGTGGTAGAATTAGTAGACAGGCATGATGGCATAGGAGTTGATGGACGTCTGTAGAACCGAGGAGAAACCTTGCTACCCCTGGGGGCAGCAGTGGCGTAGCAAGGGGGGCAAGGGGGTGTATGATGCCCGGGGCGCCGCTCGCAGAGGGGCGCCAAATGGTCTTCAAACAAGCTTTTCATCATATCACTGTGTTCTTTTCGGGAAAGGGGGGCGCCAAAAAGGTATTTTGCCCCGGGCGTCAGTTATGCTCGCTAATCCACTGGGGGGCAGTACGCATGAGGTGAGAGAGAAGTACAAGCAAGTGCGCAGAATGATATCGAGTTAAGAAATGCCAGATAAAGCTACCCGAAGAAGTGTGAGATCCATATGTGAACATATATTATACGTACAAGTAATACAATGAGATATGACAACATAAATCTGAGATATAATGCAATAAAACAAAAGAATATGAGAATACAAAAATATTTGTATAATATTTTTTCTTTTTTTTTCTTTTTTGATAACTACGCAAATAATAAACGGCCTAGAGGAGGTGCCGAAGCACCGCCTCGGAGGTCGCTTTTTGTTTACGTTACTTGTAGGATCGTAATATAAGATTGGAATTGTGGGGTTATTGACTTTGTTGATATTGTCAAAAAATCTTTTCGCTATTTCGGCAAAATAAGTTTGAATTTCTAATATGTCTGTTTCTTCATGAATTGCTTTATTTCGTATGAACCAGCGGGTCTTAGTTAACTCTCTTAGGACAACATTTTGCGTAGTTTGAATCCTTTTTATTGCTGACATTTGAAACAATATCCGAATCCCTTAAGCATTGGAAATATGTTACAGTAATAACTTCAGTTATTACTTCAACTTCTTCACAATTAGATAAATCTCTGGTTTCAAATTGTGAAGAAGTTACTAAAAAAAGTCTTTCTCCGAACTCAAATTTGCGTGTGTATGTTTTCATACACTCTTGCGCATAGCCGGGTGCGGATTATCCGCATCCAGATAATGGGGAGTCCACTGTACTCCGTTTGAGTTCTCGTTAGGTAAGGGTACATTTGTGACTGGACAGGGCGGTCCCTCTCTGGTCTCTTCATACTGGTTAGACTTGATAGCCGCTACAGTAGGTATGGGCGTAACCTCCCTAATTCTATTCTAAGAAATCACCATTTCAGGTTTTGTATGCGAGAGTACTCCACCCGGGGTTTTCTGAGATACCAGAAATAACGTGATAAATTTCGCGTTGACGCTGGCCTATATATAAGTATCCAAGAAAGTATCCCCCTCTGGCCAGCCGTCGGTGAAGCGTCAAAGTGACCTCGCTCATGTCACGTGATATTGACTTAACCATATGTAGAATGGAGTAACGTATTGGCGAACATTCCAACTAGCACACTTTTTACCACTATGCAATTCCGCCTATGGTTCTTTCTTGATTCTGTTGAATGACCTGCATGTGATGTTTATTTTCGTTATTTGTGCATATGTGCTAAGGTTATGCATTTCTTAGTCTAGTTAATATATGCAAAATCGGGCATATCAGCATGTTGCATTTTCACGCTTTTATGGAATGGCCACTCTAATCTCGACTGAGGTAAGACGCGACAGACTGGGCAATACAACTATAACAATTTTGAGTTAATGTGATCACAGAATACTTCTGTGGTCGAGGATCAAAATGTCTTCTTTTCTGGCAGTCCTATTTACGTAAAAGTTTTCAAAATTTACTGTTAGAAATACCGTTTAGTTACTTAACAGATAAAATCCATTATACTTATTCTTTGAGTGATATACTGGGGTTCAGCAGAGATTACTTTTCCTGCTCTTACCAGTTCACTGAGGGTGAACTTTCAAGTGCCTGACTTTTGAGGAAAACCTGAAGAAAATTCTCCATGTGAGAAGAAGCTTAGTCGGAGAAAGAAGACGAAAAGAAAGCATTTTGCTTGCGGAGACAAAATCTATTTATTTGTAACCCAGATATTGCAACGATTCCTTTTTCAGGGAACGTGGTGAAGTTAAGAGAACTCTCTTGCCTAAGATCGCCATACATGGAATTTTCTTTCTAACCGTTGGCCGTAAGTTTTTGTTTTAAGGACAACTTTGTATTAACTTCAGAAAATGTCAGAGACATTTCCCTGTCCTCTGCCTAAAGTGGCGGATTTTTCGGCGTCACGGGTGTCGGCCAGCTGAGAGAGAAACTGGAATTCAAAGAAACGAGATGGACGCTTAGTTTTCTTTTTTTCTGTCGCTCCTTTATAGAAGATGTATTTTAAATTTTCTATAATTAAACTTATGGTAAATATTTTTTTGTGTATAATAAAAAGCTGCAATATCCTAGAAATGTTATCTAAGTCATTTAGCTGGAAACGTCACAGAACCGAGAAGTCCAATTAACAGACCTATTTTTTCTATTTACTTAAACTACGTAAAATTTAGTGTCATTTCAATTTATTCATGCCAGTAGCTATTCAGAAGCTCTTCAGTGTTACCAAATGAAAATTAGGAAATTTCATTTCCAGGTGATATCTACATTTGTGAAATAAATTCATGATCACAGCCTCGTAGGCATATCTGAGTTTTATACCATTCATTATGAACTTTACTGCATTGCAGTAATCTTAGTTGAACGAAAGGTGTTAAATAACACAACTTTTGTCCTTAACTGTAAGGTAATAGTTCATTTTAGTATCTATAAAACAAATTGCGTTGTAAGGGAAAAAAAAAAAAAAAAAAAAAAAAAAAAAAGATTTTTTTAGCTGCAAAAGAGTGATAAATGAGCCAGGATTGTACTACTGCCCAAACACCATTTCTCGCTTTTCAAGTTTGGCTTCAACATGATTCAAAAGCTTCTTCTCTCATCGAAGTTGTGAAAATAATTTAAATCATTTGGTACAGTCTGATTACATAGTTAAGATAAGGTGATAGAATTTTAAATTTTCGTTTTCTCATTTACAGTTTGAATCGTGTGCTTTTTTACCATAAATAAGTCTCTTTTCTGTTTCTCAACTGACCTAAAGTTGAGATTCATCGTTTGAAATTGCGTAAATATTAATATTCATATTACAAGTCAAAATCAAAACAGTACATCATTTTTCAAGTTTTTGATTGCTTTTAATATGTAGTTAATGTGAATTAATTAATATGAATCAAGAATTAGTGATGAAATATTTATTCTAAAGTTGACATTCAGCTATTTTCTAAACTTGTCTCTGTATGGTTGATTACAATTTCAATATATGATTAAAAATAATATTAATAATAATTTGAATTCTGCAATTTTGATAGATTAGAAAACTTTAAAAAAAAAAAAAAAAAAAAAAAAAAAAAAAAAAACAGAGACAAACCTTTTGATTTGAATTATTGTTGTATAAATTTAATACCCATATACAATTTTCCACAAATTTAATAACTATTCGTAATATTCTTGTGATTATCTACCCAATAAATTGCGAATAACTATTTAAAGTTAATTGTAAAAAATGAGTATGGCCCTTACCAATTTCAACATTTCTTAAATGGTCCCTCACAGATTTGAGTTGTGCACCCCTGACCTAACCTGCCCCTCTGAGTTATGGTTAACCCTTTCCGGCACGCTACTCTTTGGAATTTTATCAAAAAATTTGTAGGCAGTCTAGTTAGGCCTAGGAGAGTATGCAGGTATAATTTGAAAAGATTGCACAAACCGTTTCTATTTTGTGGGTGTGTCCGAAGCGGACACACTGAGCTGCACGAGCTGCGATAGGTGAGCATTGCTGTGAAGCACGTATTACAGTAAAGTACCTTGTCTATGATTTAAAAGGAGTAGAAGCTGATCTCTGTAGCAGATTTAGCATAATCCAGGGTGCACCACGGGAAGGCCTGCTACTCTACACCCCCCAAAAAAAAACGAGAAAAAAAAAGAAACTCTCATTGCTTCGGCAATCCTGAGCCATTTACACAATTTTAAAATTTATAAGAAAAATAATTAAAATACTATATATTTATAATTAATTATTGACTAAAAAAATAATTATTAAATATATATACAAATAAAAATCTACAGAAATCAAAACTAAGCAAACGAAAAGGGTCTGCTCTCGCTGAAAATCAAATAGCTAAGTGAAAACAAAGCACCGGGGTTTTCAAAACCAAAAACAGAAAAAAATAAAAATAAATATAAATAAATCCGCGCTCTCAACCTCCCCCGTGTTTGTAGCACGAGACCAGATTCTGTGACTCACTCTCCCACGTGACATGCGCTACCAGTACAGTGTGTTCAGTCCGAACACACCATACACTAAAGGCTTTACTATACGCAATATTTCAAAGATAAAAATTAAGTGTCTTTAAAAACAGAATATATCTCAACGTTAATGATTTGCTTGTGCGGTGCTGCCATCTATTATTCATAAAAGAGATTTAAAGTAACCATTGGTGTAGTTTTCGAGATATTTATACATTATTTTTAGAGTCTAAAGAGGGAATACTTTTGGTGTGTTTACACCGAACACACTGCGCCGGAAAGGGTTAATGCAACTTGTATTCTTTTGTTGTTAATATCTCATTCATCTTTTAAATAAAGTAAAAAATAATAGATACTTCCTACATATTTCCGTTATTCTTTCATTCTTCATTTCTCTTTTAGCATCAGCATGAACATATTCCGAAAATGTCATAATAAAGCAATTTTCAAATATACTACCAAAGCTCTTTAAAATCTTAAACATTAAGAGAGAATTCTACCGCCAATAAAATCACTTACCCTTTTTAAGATCTTTTGTGGAACCAGAATTTTTAGGAGGTTGTAAAAAATGCCAAAATAGTGTGGAAGGTTCACCATGTGGATACTTTTGATTCGGCAAGGAAGACAACGCTGAAATAAAATAAATTATTCCACTTCAGAATTTAAATTTGTTCCGCATAAGAATCGTCTAAAAGTAATATTTCTAAGCTTGCTACAACGGCCCTAAAATCTGTGTCGTTTTACAAAATGTTATAATTCTTTGTACATGCAGTTTTCAGTAACTATAGAAACATGCGATTTCTATCGGATCAGCACTGAAACAAAATGTTGATTATAACTTAGTATCCTCAGGAAGTTAAATATTTGTATCAAAACTAACTTATCATAACATATATAACAACACTTATCATGTTCTGGAAGTCGAAGTTTGAAACAAATACGCTACTCTAAGGATATAACTTAGTTCCATAATACAAATTAAATTTCATTAGAGTTTTAACGTTTCTCCGACCTAATGTTCACTCTCTTTGAGCTACTACTCATGTAAACTTCATCACCAGGCCCATATTATATTATTGGGGGGCATCGTGGGATTATCCAAAGAAGCCAGAAAATACTGCTAAGGCAGTTTAGTAGGATAATTACGCAAGCTTCAAAGCCTCAAAGATCTTTAACTGGAGAATAATTTTATTTACTTCCCTTTCGTTTACAGTTACCAAGTATGACAGAAATAAGGATATTTAATGAGTACTTTTTGTGTCTGGAGCAATAATATAGAAAATTAAAATGGTCTAATTTGTGGAAGGGGAAATTTACAATACGGAATTTTTTTCCTTGTAGTTATTTAGTTAGCCTTAAATTTAAATTAAGAACTGAATTCATTGGAAGCTACTGAGGAACAGTTTTTCAAAGCTGTGTGCTTATACATGTGATGATCCGCTAAAAATCTTTCCTCAGACATTCACTATAGACAGAATTTCACTTTATATTTGAAAATCATCTCAAGGAAGTGTTACGAATTCTGTATAGCTATAAATAATTTTAGTGAAATTACAGATAAAATTGTAGTACCCCTTGTATAATGTCACATGAAAGGCCTCAAGAGAGAAAAGCTTCGTTGGAAAAATAAGATTACCGGGTGTACTTAAGTCTATTTTTAACATTGAGATAACTGTTTATCTCACTTGATATGCGAGACAGCGTCAAGTTCACAATGGTTTTGGCGACTAATTAATTTGGCGAGAAATCACCAAAAGTCACAAAACTTGGCAACACTTACATCCGATCTCTGTATAACTATAATTGTTCTGATCCCTGTAGCAGTAGTTGTATCCGGTCCTTTATATAACTGTAACTCTATATGCAAGTTGGTAACGTGTGGCAACCATGCACCGACCGTTTCGAACATATCTGTCAAATAAAGATGATAAAAGATGGTTCTGGGTAGCGGAGTAACCAAAATATGCATTGATGAAAACAGGCAAAATGAAAACATGCCACATATTGAGCTCACTCTGTTTTGTTAGGGCGCAGCCCGGTCCACCTTGCAGAACAAAGTTTGCCCTATGACTCTATACGGGCTACGCCATGAGCTCACTCTATAGTGGATTAACATGGATCCTCATGGCTGATACTTCAAACACGGATTTCTGTCTTTGAAACATGAAAATCCATTCCTGGGCAGGCCCCCTTCCTTGGAACAGTTCCCTTTCCCAAATTACATATATCTTAAGCAGTTTTAAAAACTTTACTCAAATCAAAGAGAATCAAATATCGAAAACATTCGTTTTTGTCTACCTGGACATTCCATTCCGGAAAATTATATTGAAAATTAAAATTCAGAAATGGAGAACAAAATTTATAAAAAAACAAACACTAGAATAAAGTATTCCTTTTCAATAAATACAGAAAAAGTACCGAAAAAATTTATCAGTTATTTGCTTAGTTAATTTGATTACGGTAAAGCACTCGAGGGTTATGTGTCTATGGGGAGGTTTGCCTTCGTTGAGGACTTTCTAAGGCAAGCTGGCTCATATTCAAGTTACACATGGGAAAACCACGAAAAAGCCAGCACGTTCTCGAGATTCGAAACTCGGACCGAACTACCAGTGTTTAGCGACTTTACCGTTCGGCCGGTGGTGGGGCCAAATTGATTAGAATATAATGTATGAAAACAAACTTACCAGTGCTGCAACTGCAAATAAGATTCGATAAGGTTTGAACATTGTTTGGGCTATGTCATAAGACACGTTTTTACAATCCAGGATTAAAACGACGCCGCTCACTTGGTAAGCCTCTATATCATTTGTCACTAAACCCATGCACAAAATTGTAGCTAATAGTTCCTCAACGGTGGCAACTTTGAAATCATGAAAACCTAAAAATAAAATATTCATCAGTAAATTATCAACAGACAATTAGAAATCATTTATCTAAATCATTCTGTTTATATGTTGAAGCAAAAACATTTGGGAAATTGTAAATTGGAAATAAAGAAAAAACAAAATTCTACTCGAAACGTTAAGGCAAATTAGGTAGATACTGTAAATTCCTTCTGTGAGGGATGATTTATCTGGTTGTAATGAAAGTTTTCCGCCAAAAAGACATTGTTAATAAAGTTTAAAAAAATAACACGAAAGCAGTACCTTTAGTGTAGGCAGTAATTACCACACCAAATCTATGATTTTCTGTCAAATTTTGGAAAGTTTTTCAAACCCTTCGGCCCAGAAACTTGTTGGCCGCGAGCCCAAAAAACAGATCACCCTTATTTCGGACGTCCTGTGCAGAATGGAAGATAGCACCAGCCAGATGTAGCTGCAGGTGTAAAAAAAGGTAGAAGTCCGAAGGAGCGATACCGGGGCTATATGGTGGGTGTGGGAAAAGATCCCATTCGAGACCGTACAGAGTCCAGCCGGTGAATGCAGACACATATGTTCTTGCATTATCTTCATGGACCAATTTGCGCCTGAACTCAGTTCGACGTTTTCCTTTGACAGCAGCTTTAACGCGAACTAGCACCTCGCTATACACTTTACCGTCGAGTGTTTTACTTTTTCCAGACATTCTTTGTGGACAATATCACGACAATCCTACCAGATACGCCCACCAGTGGCCGAGCGGTAAAGTCGCTGAACACTGGTCCGAGGTTCGAATCCCGCGAACGGGCTGGCTGCATGGGTGTTTTCGTGGTTTTCCCCATGTGTAACGTATATACGAGCCAGTTTCCCTTAGAAAGTCCTCCACGAAAGGCATCCCTCCCCTTAGGCAGATAGTCCTAGTGTGCTTTGCCATAATTAAATACACCACACCACCTACCAGATACTCTACCGGATACAATGCTTTATCAAATAATTTTAGTGAAATTATGTATGAAAGTGTAGTATTTTTTGTATAATGTAACATAAAATGCCTGTAATAGAAGATGCTTTCCCGAAAAATAAGAAAACAGGGGCAGATCTTTTTAACATTGAATACATGGCTATCTCTATAAATTGGCGATTTATCGCCAAGCTGTCGATTGATTTGGCGCTTAATGTCTGTTACAATTTGGCGAGAAATTGCCAAAAGTAGCCGAATTTGGCGACTATTTAGTGATATTTTGATGTGGTCTCTGTGTAACTGTAATGGGTGTCGTAATTGAATAACTGTAATTGAACCTATATGTAACTGTAACCACACCCGCCCTCATTTCGAGAAGTGGAAGGTTCTAAATTTCTCTGCGGCCAAGGGAAAACTATATAAGACAGAGGACAGCATCACTTTCTCGGTAGTACTTGTTTAGTTTAGTGTCAGTTTAGAGTACCTGATATATCTTCGTGTCAGGTATAGAAGTTAGATATTTTGCTTCGCTCCTTAGATGCGCTTTGCATTGCTTTGTGTTTAATGTTTTTAGTAAATTGAAGGGTAATTACTGATTGTGCTCTATGATACTGTGAAGGGATGTCCACGTGAAGTCTTTCTTTTGGTAAAATAAATTTTGTGAAGCTATCATCGGATTTGTGTGCATTCAATATATTTCGAACACGTACGCAAGCAACAATATTTATTGATTACCTTTTATAGAGGGGCAATTCAGCTCATTATACCTTTTAATTAATGGATGCAGACTTCGTGCCTGATCAATCACTGCACTCGTAACTGAAGTAATCTGGATCATTTGCATATTTCTTTGACATATTGCTTTGCTATCAATACAAAATGTTTACTTAAAATTTTTAAATCACTAAATACAGGGTGATCAGAAAGTCAGTATAAATTTGAAAACTTAATAAATCACGGAATAATGTAGATAGAGAGGTAAAAATTGACACACATACTTAGAATGACATGGGGTTTTATTAGAAAAGCAATAATTAGAAAAGCAATAATCTGATCAGAAAAGCAAAATCTGATCAGAATTATGATTTAATTAGCATAACAAATTAAGACAAAGCAAAGATGATGTTCTTTACAGGAAATGCTCAATATGTTCACCATCATTCCTCAACAATGGCTGTAGTCGAGGAATAATGTTGTGAACAGCACTGTAAAGCATGTCCGGAATTATGGTGAGGCATTGGCGTCGGATGTTGTCTTTCAGCATCCCTAGAGATGTCGGTCGATCACGATACACTTGCGACTTCAGGTAACCCCAAAGCCAATAATCGCACGGACTGAGGTCTGGGGACCTAGGAGGCCAAGCATGACGAAAGTGTCTGCTGAGCACACGATCATCACCAAACGACGCGCGCAAGAGATCTTTCACGCGTCTAGCAATATGGGGTGGAGCGCCATCTTACATAAAAATCGTACGTTCCAGCAGGTGTTTATCAGCCAGGCTGGGCACGATGCGATTCTGTAACATATCAGTACATATCTGTACCTCTCACCCGTCACGGTAGCAGTTACAAAACCAGAATCACGCATTTCCTCGAAGTAAAAAGGCCCGATAACAGTATTTTTTTTTTTTTTGGTTCTAATAAAACCTCATGTCATTCTAAGTATGTTTGTCAATTTTTACCTCTCTATCTACATTATTCCGTGATTTATTAAGTTTTCAAATTTATACTGACTTTTTGATCACCCGGTATAATAGATAGATTAATTGAAATATGAAATATGCTATACTTTTCGTATATATGATTCAAATAAAAATTGCATATTTAATTTTAAAATATGCTTTCTAAGATTAAAGAAATTTTGCAAGTCTGTAAAACTCAATAATTCTGCATTCTTAAATAAATATTTTCAAAAAAACATTTAATAAACCTCTTAGGCATAAATTCGTATTCTGAAATAAATGTTATACTTAAAAATCTATATTTTTACCTGTGTTTGAAATTTAAATGCCATTTATTCCGGTTTGATCATTTGAATTTTTGATTATTCGATTGCTGTTGAATCAATTCAATATATTATCTATATTGGAAAATCCTAACTTTAATCTCTTCTTTCTACTCTAAAAATTAAAAAAAAAATTATAATAAACCTTTCTGAAGAGTGTCATTCCAAATTTAGTCCCTATAGTATGATTCTTTTTCGACGCAGTTCATGTACGTATTATTATAAATCCAAAAGAGTAATTAATACAGACTGAAACCTGTATCAACACACAATAATCAAACAGTAGTAATCAAGCTTGTATAGTAAAAGAAAAAAACATTATCATTTTTATCATGCAATTACTCTACTAAATGAAGTACTAAACTCTACTAAATGAACATTATCATTTTTATCATGCATTACTCTACTAAATGAAGAGTCACAATTTTTAACCAAATTTCACCTTAGCTTTTATCTAGTTATCATTTATCTAGCTAAAACGTAGTCTGCTGCTTCACTTTATCGCCAACAATAACACTTTAAACACGCGAAGCATACGGTTGTAATTATTGAATAATTCTTGTGAGAATTTATCTGTATATTGTTACTATAATAATCCTACACCACTAATAAAGAACTAAACCAATGGCTTGCAATTGCATTTTCATTGCGTATAACCATTGTTACAGTTGCTTCGCATATTACATATCGTTGCTTGTTACAGTTGCTTCGCATATTACTTGCTATTTTACCAACAAACTCGTGAGTTTTAAAGAAAAAAGCTGTGCTTTGATGTACCAGGCTCCCAGTTAAAGACTTCAGACCTTAATAGTGGTCTTTAATAATAATCACGTTAAACGTTAAAATACAATGTTCCCTCTAACCTGCTATGAACACCAGAGGTGATGGAAGCTCATTTTATTTTTGTCAATATCATTTTGCATACGAATCACTTTCAAGTTGTTGCCACCAAATGTTATCGCGAAGAATAAAAAAAAATCAACTTATGAAGTATCTGTATGTGTATATGTTCCTGGCATTATGGAACTCAGAGCCACCAAATGTTTAAAACAAGCTGTCCTGCACCCGAACATAGACACCCTTAATCCTGAATTTTTATTTATTTCCAGTGGCGTAGCTAGGGTGGGGCAAGGGGGGACATCTGTCCCCGGGCGCAGCATCCAAGGGGCGCCAAATTGATGCTACGAAATTTTGTAATGAAATGTTTTCCATTCTTGGCAAACAGAAACGGGCGCAAATTCTTCAGTTGTCCCCGGGCGCTGGAAACTCTAGCTACGCCCCTGTTTATTTCGTATTTTGTACAAATTTAGCGAATTTTTGTTCAACAAAATCGGGATTTCAATGAGAGAAATGGCAGCTTTGTTCGAAAAAACACAATTTATCTCCAGTACGTTAGAGTGTTGACATTGGACAAAATGTCAGATATTAATTTTTCACTTTCAATCAACAAACTCGTGTAATTGAAAATGATGGGTTGCCACAACCAGAAAAAAGTACTTTTATTTTCCAACTTGATGCCTTTCGCTAAAGCCTAACATATTTAACTATCATATATAAGCTTCGACAAATGCCGTTGTAGGGAAGCCGCCGTTAGTGGGAGCCAAATAGTGAAACGCTTGAGACACAGAAGTTGCGCAAACGAATGTATTAGCGAAGTTTTGATTCCCAGGATACGGCTGGATGTAAATATATATAAAAATTAGTTCCTTAATAAATCTAGTCTAATAATGATGTATGTCTTTCTAACGAGTAAAGCTAGATCACCAGCTAACACATATTTAATCTAGACGGATACCGATTAAAACACTAAATGCTTTAAACACAGCTCCTATTAATATTAATTCTACTTTTCAATACTATTGTTTTAAACAAAAATGTTTTTAAATCATGGATTGACCAATCAGTAATAGTAAATATTTTTTTGCAATCCCGCTAGGTGGCCTCATTAAAATTATTATATACAGTCAAAAGTCGTTAATCCGGACTCGTCGGGACTTCGGCGATTCCGGATTATCGATTTTTCCGGATTATAGATCATCAGTTTAAATCTCGTAAGATGGCA